GAGCTTGTGGATGTTGTCATCAAAGAGATTCCATGGAATCTGTGATCTGTGTATTCCACTTCAGTGGAATATTTAATTTAGCAAAGAACAGTCTGTTGGTAGAATATTTAATTTGGTAAAGAACAGTCTGCTAGTAGAATATTTAATTTAGTAAAGAACAGCCTGCTTTTAGAATATTTCATTTTGTTCCCCAGACACAGAACTGTATTGGGTTCCAGGTAGTGAAGTTGTGAGCATCACAGCACAGTCGCTTTCTGAATTAATTGCTCATGATGTTCAATTGAGATTTTAGGTATTATCTATAATAGATATATTTACCTGTTGGATCTCTGGGTGAATCTGTGGTTCCGGGGGGGGAGAGGTCTGCTATATAATATTTAATCTAGTAAAGAACAGCCTGCTAGTAGAATATTTCATTTTGTTCCCCAGACACAGAATTGGTTGGGTTCCAGGTAGTGAAGTTGTGAGCATCACAACACAGTCACTGAGTTAATTTGAGTTAATCACTGCTCATGATGTTCAATTGAGATTTTAGGTATTATCTATACTAGATATATTTATTTGTTGGATCTGTGGGGTGAATCTGTGGTTCCAGGGGAGGGAGAGGTCTGCTATATAATATTTAATATAGTAAAGAACAGTCTGCTAGTAGAATATTTGATTTGGTAAAGAACAGTCTGCTAGTAGAATATTTAATTTGGTAAAGAACAGTCTGCTGGTAGAATATTTAATTTAGTAAAGAACAGTCTGCTGGTAGAATATTTCATTTTGTTCCCCAGATACAGAATTGGTTGGGTTCCAGGTAGTGAAGTTGTGAGCATCACAGCACAGTCACTTTCTGAATTAATTGCTCATGATGTTCAATTGAGATTTTAGGTATTATCTATAATAGATATATTTATTTGTTGGATCTGTGGGGTCAGTGTGTGGTTCCAGGAGAGGGAGAGATCTGCTAGTAGAATATTTAATCTAGTAAAGAACAGCCTGCTGGTAGAATATTTCATTTTGTTCCCCAGACACAGAACTGTATTGGTTTCCAAGTAGTCAAGTTGTGAGCATCACAGCACAGTCACTGAGTTAATTGCTCATGATGTTCAATTGAGATTTTCAGCATTGTCCATAATAAATACCTTTAGCTGTTGGATCTGTGGGTGAATGGTGGTGCCAGGGCAGGGAAGGTGTGGCTGAGCCCAGCTGGGCTGGCTGATGTCCCCTGCTCTCTCTCCTGCAGCGTTTGTGACGCTGCTGAACNCCCTTCTGCCCTGAGCTGTGGGGAGTGGAACTGGGAACAGCAGCACAATGGGAGCTCTGTTCCTTCTTTTCCACCAGACCTGAGTGCTGGGAGATGCTGGAGGTGAAGTTTAGAGAGGTGCCTGGCTTAGCAAGCAGAGAAATGCCAGTGTAGCACACAGATATTTACAGCTGTTTAATGGAAAGGAGTACACATTTCCCTGGGTGTGTTTTATCTTTGTAAATCCTCACGAGCGGTGTTTGTGTGAGAAATGCTTTCACTGAAACACTGCCCAGCCCCAGCTCCACAGGTGAAGCTCTCAGCCCTGCCAGGAGCCCACAAGAACCAGAACTTTCCTGGAAGAGCCCTTTGCACAAACCTGGCAGCGTTTGCAGCCCCTGTGGGAGCTGGTGTTAAAATCTTTACCAGATTTCTGTGCTTAAATCAGGCTTTATTTTGAATCTCCCTTACATTCTCATCAGTTTTTATATGAGATCTCATCATTATCCCCCTAAGACCTGTTCAGTAGGGGCTGTTTTCCTCTCAAAGTTTCAGGGGAATCATGTGGAATCATCTGATACACAGATGACTTTCAGAAGAGCGTGCAGAGCTGTTTGAAATCCAACTTCCTGCTACCTAATCATCATAGAAAACTTGCAGTGGTGCTCTTGTAAAATAATACAGGAAATCAAAAGGGCAAATATGTCCCTCTTTTGCTGAGTGGGACAGAAACAATGTTTTGGAATCTTCAGTGGCACAGCACTGCCAGAAGTGTACAGAAAGTGTCTTCTCAGTCTCTTGTGTCTGAGGCAGAACCATCTCATTGTTGTTTGAGAGGTGTCCACACTCAGATCCCCTGCCTGGCTGGAATTTTGGGCCCATCTTGCATTTCAGAAACCCCATCCTTATCACACCTTATTTGAGGACGTGTGGTGGCTGCAGAAATGCTGCCATATTTTATTGATGCAGTATTTGACAGCTGTTAAACAGTGAAACCAGAGATTGGTGCTCTCCTGACTAAAAGGTGTGCACCTGATACCCCTCACACAGAACCCAATTAACCTTTAGGCTCCATAGATTGAATTACCAAACTGGCAGCTCCACTCAGCTGCTGGGAATCAGCTGCAATTAAACTTTCAGACAAAGCTGCTCGATTATTTTGCTTGCAGAAATCATCTTTGCACTCCTGTGTATGGGATTTGTCCAGCTGAAATACTGTAAATATCCAGGTTATTACTCCTGTTTTTTCTTTGGGATGGTGAGTGCTCAGCTCTGCTTTCTCATCCCTGAATGACAATAATTTGTGGGGTTTTTGGGGGATGTGCACCTTGGTTTTTTGGGAATAGCTGCAGCAAACTCCTCTTAGACTTGCTCTTGGCCACCCCTCCTCTCTCCCCATTAATTAGTGGGAGCAAATAACACTCTGGGGGTTGATTGTCTGTTGAGCAGCTGTGCAGTCATTGACAGAGGATACTTTCCAGGGGGTGCTCTGGCCACAGTTATCTGCTGGCTGAAAGAATATCCATTATTAAGGGTGAAAATCCATTAAAGTGAACTTGAGCAGGGCACCAAAGCAGCTGTTGGGTTTTGGGGCAGCATTGTGCCCTCAGTAAGTTTGGTGATGTGATGCTGCCAGTGTTCCTGGTCCATGTGCCATTTTAGCTATGCCAGTTGTACTTCAGAGAAATGGAGAGGGTTTTGCTGTTTAATGAGCTGTGATGTTATTTGTCTTTATCAATAGACAGTTACAGGACAGCCTTTTGTGTTTATGTCACCCCAGAGAATGAAAAGCGAATTAATCAAATTCAGCAAGCCAGTTTTTTATGGGAGATTAAAACATTGCTGCAGCAATGTGTAACCAACTCCTTTAAAAACAAATATTTGATAGCGTTTCTATGGTGAAATTTTCTGTTTGTTGGGAAAGATTTTGGTTTTGTTTGAAATGAGGATGAATTTATCCACTTGCTTGGTTTGGGGACTTATTTATGTGCTGTTATTTGTACTCTTCCCTTGCAGGAAATCCATGACTTGTTTAAAGATTATGAAATCAAGTACTGTTACGTGGACAGGAATAAAAGAACAGGTGAGAACTTCAAACTTCCATTTATTTCAATTCTGTGAGGGACATCAAGTGCTGTGTGTGCCATCATGGATTGTCTGGCATCCCTCAGTGCCTTTTTTGTCACCTGCTACTGGAGCCAGTGAAAGCTGGAAGCTTTGTGGTGTTGGTGTGATTTTTGGTCCCCTCTGGTCTCTCTCAGGAGCATTCCTCAGTGAGTGTCCCTGCATGGCAGTGTGTGAAATGCCTGTGGACTGAAAAGCACAAAAAAAGATCTGTTAACCCCAAAGGGAGAGCTTGTGGATGTTGTCATCAAAGAGATTCCATGGAATCTGTGATCTGTGTATTCCACTTCAGTGGAATATTTAATTTAGCAAAGAACAGTCTG